CTAGGGACTCTTCCTGGAGCAGTCAAAGTTCACAGGCTCATTGCAAGTGAACAATAAAAATTATGGAAAGGAAAACACTCCAAGTAAGCATTTAAATTCCTGTTTTTTTCTGTGCTTTTATCTGCAATTTTTGTAAGTTGGTGAAAGAGTCTTTATAGGTTAACAGTTGAGTATAGGTTCTCTTTAAGTGGTGAACCCAATTATTACACAGGTTAATAATTTCCGAGACTCCTGTGCATTCCAAGCAAGTTCATGATTTTATCACAGGGAGTAATTCTTCTATCAGAGCAGCTGTACATTCCCCTATACCTCTTTTCCTCACCAGTTATTCAAATATTGTTAATTACTCACTTCATTGAGTGTGGTAATGAGAAAAGCTAGACTGGCTGCAATTTAATTTGTTCTACTCCAATAAAAATGTATAGATCTGACAGCTCGCTCAATATATTCAAATAAACGTTCAAGTGGCTAAATAGGGTATAGATGATTTTTTTGGGGGGGGGAGTTCATGTGGATCCATTATTCCAAAGGTTATACTGCTAACTATAATAACTACATTGTCTAAACTGTTCTAAAATCTCAACTGCATCCTCCTATTGGCCGATTCTGGTGGCTCTCTATTGAGTGGCTAAAGCAGCTCTGGTATTCTCTCTGAACATGGAGCCACAAAATGCAACATTAATCTGGCAAACAACAAAGCCACTTGCAAAGTGATGGTGGAAGTAAGGTTTGAAGTTCACCAAGCAGACTTGGTAATGGTGATAACTCGTTTGTTCTTTACCAAGTTCTAAACTGGAAAAGCTGATGTACACGTGTATGTAAAACTTACACTGTGGCAGAGGGGGTGCATTCTAAAAGGGATAAGCATCAAATCCCAATGACTTCTGTTTGCAGTGCTTGAATAAACATTCAGGTCTTCATGCAGCGGAGCAATGGGAGGCTTCTGAGAAACATAGACAGCAGCAGAGCGCCGATGAAGGACTTCCCCAAATTATAAAACTACTTTAAAAGTAAATGTAAACCTAATCTAAAAATATTGTTTTTTTTCATATTATAGTAATTTCTTTTTAAATTTGCATCATGAAAATAATTCCCAGTGACCCATCCATGAAGGTTCCTGTTCAGACACTTCCTGTTATAGGGTGATAAAGGTCTCCTAGTAGTGCTCCTGTGCTGTCACCCTATAGATGACAACATCTGTGGCCAGCAAACCATGGATCCTTAGTCGATATTCTCTAAACCTTTATTTAAGCAATCATATCACATACAGTGTCAGTGCACTGTTACAATGTCATGAAGGAACTTTTCGTTAGGTATGTGATCATTAGGTGCTTGACGAAGAGGTAGTGCATGGCCTGGAAATGCTTCTAATGTATTTGAGAAACATGGGTTTGGAAGCACCTCCTAGCCACATGGCATACTTTCTTTAGATACGGCTCCCTTTTACCATGTCTCAGGTCTTTTATTCTTTATTAGCCACTGACTGGGGCATTTGCATGCTAATAATCAGATAGACCGGTTGGTTACAGACTGCTCGATAATAGAAAGAAATGTTCCCTACTTTAGACATTGTTTGAAATTATCGGGCTGTTTGTGCTGTGCTAGAAGGAGGAGCAGCTATCTTCCCCACCTCAGTCATTCTGGTGGAAATATCTACCAATCTAAAACCAGCCATTCAATTTCAAAAGAGCCGCGCTGTCAGCGGCTCTCTGTCTCTCCGGTCCCGCCTAGCTCACTGACGTCACTGTTTGCCAGGAGCTCGGCAGGGCACCAGCAAGAGCATCCCGCTCAGCTCCCTGGCAATTGATGACATCAGTGAACTGGGCTGGAAGCTGAACAGAGCGTCACAGGTTGCTAAGAGCTCTTTTACTGCTCCCCCCACACCTGCTGCCACCCCAATGAGATGCCACCTGAGGCGACCACCTCAGGCTGCATCATTAGAGGGACAGCCCTGAACACAGACATGTAGAAAGATGCCACCACTTCAAGCCTGCATAAAAAATTCCCCACCTCTGGAACTCTATGTGCCGACCAAAAAGAGCCCAATCATGCACTATGAACTCTAGGAAAGCAGGAAGTTGCCCACCAGTGACATCAGATCACTTCCAACTTTATTTAACCTTGGATCGATCACAGAGGTCCTGGGTGGGCTCCAGTGTACTTTGTTCAGGTTCAATAAAGTTGGATGTGATCTAACGTCATCAGTATGTGACTTCCTGCTTTCCACCTGATATTGTCATCTTAAAGGAAATGTATGGCGGTTTTATTTTTATTTTTACTATTTATGGTTAGTGCTAAAACAATACAACTTTTGTTAGAAAAAATGTTTCAAGTAAATATGAAATATGTTTATTTTGCGTTTTTATCTTTGGGCTTCTTTTTACATTTTGCAGGTTCTATTTGCTTCCTTGAGGAGAAAGCCTGTTTGCAAAACTCAATAGCTCAAGCTGAAATTTACACACACACAATAGGGAGGCTTATATGCCTTTAAAGGAGAACTATGGGGTCAGGGCTTCTCACCATAGTTCTCCTTAGGGTAACAGGAGGACACAAACTAGCATTCCTCCCATTACCCTATGCTCAGTATACCGTGATCTACAGCTCGCGGTATACTGAGACGCCGCAGCCGGAGCGGATCCCGACATCGATGTCGAGATCCGCCCAGCTGCGTGAGTGACAGCTGGCTCTGCCTATCTAGAGGCAGAGCCAGCTCTACCCGCCCCTTCCCCTGTCCGTTCCGCCAGTCAGAGCTGGCGGATCAGAGCTGGGAGGGGGGAATACAGCCCCTCCCCTGCAGAGAGCCGTGACAGGATCGAGAGATGAGCGAACGCCGGTATATGTTCGCTCACCTCCCGATCTACTGAGCCAACCTGTGACAGTCTCATTGTCACAGGTTGGATAGAACTATGAGGTGAGTGAACAGCACTCACCTCATAGTTCTCCTTTAAGTTTAAAGTGAAACCATGGGCAGAATTAAGAAATAACCTACTTACATTGTCCGTTCTGTCAATACCATTAACACTGCACTTTTTTTTTCTGAGTCCCCCTGCAACATAGTTTTTTTACATGTATTAAACTGCTATGCAATTTCTATGGACATACCATATCATTCATGTAATATGTTTTTCCCTGTAGTTACATTAAGCAGTGCTGCAAGGCTGCCACGGCTGTTCTATCTCTTTAGCTAACCCTTAGTGCTGAGGGAATTCCATGTCATGTATTAAATGTTTATTTGTAAAATAAAGACTGCGTATAGAAGTTTAGTTCAAATTGGGTTTTGTTCCTACCTGGAGATCCGATGAATTCTAATCCCCCTCCTTATGTTTGCGCAACTGCTTGTGTAGTCCGATCCCTAACCGTATTTGTGCAGAAAAAAGGGGGGGGTTAACTCGTCACAAGATGACGGGTTAGTAGTGGTCAATTTCAGGATCCGGACAAGTCAGTTGGTTACATGAAAAATTAATTTTATTGAAAAAAGACATGCAAGATAACACATTTGACTAACAATACCACCATAAAACCTGTTAAAAATACAGACACTAATAAATTAAATGTGGATCGATCCTCATTCACTTCTATCATTAATTTCACCGTAAGGGGTAAGTAGCTGGTGTGTTACCCACGTTGCCACTTATCTCTCCGTGAAATGGCCCATGTGTATATCGATAAACATGGGCTATCTAGATGAAGCTATATTCCAGGGTATGGGCAATCAAAAGGAAAAACATTCTGGTAATTTCATATTGTGAATTAAAGAAGAGAGTCAAATTAGATTTGAAATGGTAACCTAGGCTTCGTACATTTGAAATCAGATTATATAATGTGCTTAAACACTGATGCTTGTGGATAAGGTAGATTCTATATGGCTATTTTCTGGTTTAATGGAATATGTCCTCAGATGTTTTCAGTTCCTTTCCCTCTATCAATTTGTTTTTTCTTTAGGGATTCCTTTGATGGGTGTTTCACTGTGGGGTTAAGTTTTCCTTGGTTTAGTATTGGCTTGAATTCAGCCGTGTGTACACTTAACCCCTTCCTCCTTCTTAGCCTCGGGATAACGTGGTGGAGACACCGGGATATAATCAAATTGTCTGTTCAAACCGAGGGGGGAGGGGGGGGGGGGATGTTTTCCCATGGACAGACTATTACTGGACCATCTTCTATGTCACGCCTGACTTTAACCTTCTCTCTCAATTAATATTGAATTTTGAGTGTAGAGGGTATAAGGCTTCACTTCAGAGTGGTATTCAAACACCGTCCTTAACGGACATAGATAAAGGATTTTTCGTCACTCACGTTTACTGAAGTTTTCTTATAGTCCGGGCGGTTTGAAGACTATTTCCTTCCTTTGAAGTCCAGTGATCCGTTTGCATGTATCTATGTCTTGTTGTTTCCTCCAGAGGATGGTTGTTAGTGGCTAATGATATTTGGATCATGTCCTGGATATCCTCAGTGTAGTCTGTCCGTTGCTGAGAACCCCAAACCCCAGTTGAGAATATGGCAGAGTTCCCTGGTATCAGGATCGTGCGTCCACTTGCGGCATAGTGGTTATGTGTCTGGTTGTTGTCTGTCTGTCGACGCGTTCGCCCCTCCTACAATCCGGGGCTTCGTCAGGACATACTCTGAGGTCGAAGGAACCGCTTTTTAACCAATTAGGTCACGCCTCTTTACTTTCTTCTTAATCATTAGTTTAGATTATAGGCGGCGGTTCCCCTTCCTCCAGGTGAAAAACCACTTATTGGTTTCACTAGACAACATAGAATTAAAATTAACATATATGGAGAGTGTTTTTCCCACACGGCCCTGCATACTACAAGACTTCTCCCCTTTCATTACACACTATCATGTGGCGGCATCTACACACCCATTAAAATAATTTAGCCACCTGTATGCAGATTCGTTTTCTAAAGTATGTGGGTCTATCGATATGTTTGGTTAAATATATTACCTTATAAATAGGACATTTTCTTTTGAACTCATATACTGAAAGTGTAAATGCTTACCGGGTCTCTTTTCACCAGGTCCAAATCTGGGACCACAGCTGTAAGATGGACGATAGTAAACAAGGAATTCAGGACATAGGAGAAAAACAAGTTTTTATGAAGTGTAATCCTCTGACAGCTTAGGCTCCTAAAACAAAAAAACATGGGCAGCATTTGTATCATTTAATAAGCATGCTTTTATTTATTATAACTTACCAATCCAATCTCAACATTTTATCTATCTATCTATCTATCTATCTATCTATCTATCTATCTATCTATCTATCTATCTATCTATCTATTAATCTCTCTCTTTTTTTCTTCCCTTTCTTACTTCTATCCTTTCTTTCTTTCTTTCTTTCGGACTTACTGTTCTGACACTCGTGTGTGTGTAAACTTGATTTTGAGCTACTGATCTCTGTAACCAGCAATTTATTTCAAAACAGCCTTGCTATATGTAAAAAGAAGCTTAGATCGCCTTCTGCTGGATGGAAATGTAAACATGAAATTTTCATGAGTTTAAGCAAAAATGGGGGAAAAAAAGTGGAATTGGTTTTAGTTTTGTATATAATACAGACAGATCTAATGAGCAAATCATTGTATTGGAGGACACCAAATCTTAATGCCCCTACCTTCCGAAATACATTTGTTCAAGCCCACCCCTCCTACCCCCCTTCCTAAATGGTGTGTAAATATTTTCCAAACCATGTATTCTGTAAATAGGAAAAGTCCCCATGGTGGTGGGAAAATGAAAAAGGAGGTCTGACTGCAATATTTATCTGCCACAGTAATACCTTTAGGGCACTGGATGTCCTTAGTCTTCAGGAATAATGGAAGCCCAAAGTCGTTGAACCCAGAAGACTGGGGACGTCTTGTGGGTACCGGATGTCAGTGTGCTCAGGGGTCATGAACATGGCAACCTGCATTTATTTTAATGACACAGGGAGCTCAACAAGGACCACACACTGCTGGAGAGGATTATAAGAAGCAGAGGAATCTGTGCATAACTTGACCAGTCAGTAGACTACCAGCAAAGATATAAAAGGGAAAGCAAAAAATACAAACGGGGGCCTCCAGAAGGGAGGAAGTTGGTGACTGGGAGCCAAGGAAGTGCGTCCAGATTAGGACTTTGAATTCATTTAGTATGTGTCATCACCTTAATATGCCCCTGGAAAAAGAGTGCTGGGGCACCACCTTGCCCCCACGACACCCCTGCATAATCTACCTCATTAGAAAAGTTAAGTAATTCATAGCTGTGCCTATAAAGTATTACAGACGTTCCTACTGTCTGGTACTCAAAATGAGCTTTGTGTTTTGGGTATTGAGACTGGAAAGAAAATAAGATGTGACTTACATTAGCTAGCGAGCAAAATCCATTTCCACACAAATCAGTATTCCTCACCTCAGTATTCCATTAATATGTAACCCTGGAAATCAAAAACAATTAAAATCGAAATTATGCATTCCGGTGGTACTTACTTGAAGTAGAAGAAAATTCCAAGGGAAATTAGCAGGGAGACAATAGACAGGGCATGTCCGACTATTGCCATGTAGTAAAGGATGTAGGCATTCTGGAAGGAGAGGGAAGAAAGAAAAGCAGACATTAAAGGGATTTATAATGACTTTATACATATTTACTTTATTTATTATAAAACAAATCACATTTTAAAAGTTTGTTTTTTTGTTTTATGTCTGGCAATTAAAAAAAAAATCTTGTTTATGATTGGTATATATTATCATAACCAACCAGCAGGTGGGGCTTTACTCTTCAGTGCACACATTTTCTGATTTCTCCTTCCCTCCTAATGTAAAAAGCCTGTTGCTCACAGAGCTCAGTAGCTCAAGTTCAAATACACATGCACAACTGTACATATGTCAGAGTTGTCATTCCTCCCAATTACTAACCCTTCCTCTGTAAGGCTCCATCTGAGGTTTCAATAATAGTATATAAGTATAAAATAACTATAGAATTCTATGTCAGAAAGGAGATAATCATGGCTGTGATTCATCCTTCCCTCTTAATGTAAAAAGCCTGTTGTTCACAGAGCGCAGTAGCTCAAGTTGAAATTCACATGCCCAAGTGTATATGTCAGAGTTGTGATTCCTCCCCCTCACTAACCCTTCCTCTGTAAGGCTCCATCTGAGGTTTCAATTATAAGATATATAGGATATAATATATTATATTATAGGATATATGTGAGTATAATATAACTTTCGAATACTATGTCTGGAAAGAGATAACTATGGTGGTGAATTCTCCTTGGATAATCTTTAGTGCTTTGGGAATCCTCTGTCATGTCATATTAAATCCTCCACTCCACCCTGCCACCAGATCCACCCCAACCCCTACCCTCTAATGGCTGCTATTTAATTTTTTTTTTTAAAGCCCATTTTATTTACCTAATTCCACAGTTATGTGAAACTCTGGATGCAAGTCGTCTCTTTTATTCTGTGTATAACTGGGGTCCTTCTCAAATGTCCACATCACTACCTGCATGACATGGGCACTTCCTACTAGTTGTCCCGCGGCGTGGTCCTCTTAGGATGCAGAAGAGGTATCTCAGTGGTGGCGTCAGCAAAAGGGGACCATCAGAAATTGGCTGGAAAGAACACATCTACATTGCCGAATTACAGGTTCCATGCACCCGAAGCCGGTGAGGGACCCAAATGGCAGACTTAGAAGGGTAGAAATTTGCTTCACGGGGTATGTGAAGAAATAAAACCGTGAAAGAGGGTGGGAAAGTTGTTTTGCCCTGAGATAGTCTTTAAAACAAAATGTGTCTGTGTGTGTGTATGTGATGCTCCTGTTTGTGGAATCTGGATTCTCAACTGCGGAGTCAGAGATGTGTGACGGTTACTCAGCATGTGATTCCTACTATGCACTCTCCATATAATGTTTAACGGAGGTTCGGAATCGGGTACATAATTTCCCGTCTAGTAAGAGCTGAACTTAAGTGGTAACTGGTGACCTAGTCAGTATACATAGGTACAAGTGCCGATGGCGTGTCTGTAGTGAGTGAGAGGGAGGCGACAGTGATCCCAGCCTTCCAGTGTTCTATCGTGAGGTATGCATGTGCTGCCTGCGGTTACCTTCCAGTCAGGACTGGAGGAGTCCTGTGGCTGTATTAACAGGGGTCTAGTGTACAACTGGTTCCTACTGTGTAGGTTACCAGATCCCCCTGACTTAGTAGTTCCCAATGGAGTGAGGGTTTGAACAATTGTTACTAGCACTGTGACTCTGGTCAATGCAGACAATAGTATATAATGGAAGAAGTCCCAATGATATCATTACCACATGCAAGTAATAGAGATCAGGTCAATAGCACAATGTAGCAACTTCAGTATGGTTAACACAGTCTCAATAGCTTTGATATGAGGCTGATGCCTTATATTACTAGGCTACTTGCGGTTGTGAAGTTCCCTCGTTTTCAGCTCCCAAGTAGGACATAAGTCACTCCAGGAAGATGTGCAATACAAATGGCAGACAGCTGCAGGTCCATGACAGGTGAGATCCCGCTGGTAGGTATAAAACACATGGTCCTAGAGCAAAGACTACACTAATGGAGTTCAGAAGGCACTGTGGGCAATTCATGGAAAATAGAACAAACAGTTGGCAACCAATCAGCTTCTATCTTTCATTTTCAAAGGTTAACTAAACAAACTAAAGAGAGAAGCTGATTGCTTACCATAAGAAATCTGTCGGCTTCAGTTTTCTTGATCACCCCCCCGACAATGTTTGCTGGACAGTCATCTATCTATAAATTACAGCATTCAGATATTATTTTTACAGGATTCACTATATGTGTGTATTGTGGCAGCTGAGGGTCAAATCTAATTAGATCTTTAATGTGACGGCCAAATCTTGTTTGCAATTGGAATCTCTCTGTTATGTTGGATACTGATGGGTGAATCTTCTTTGTAGTTCCAATCTATTATGTTGTATGTTGACAATGATGGTCGAATCTTGCTTGTATTTTAAGGTGGCCACTGGCCAACAAATCTTATTTAAAATTTCAATCTATTAAGTTGTATGCTGATACTAATAGGCACATTTTCGGTGAATGTGACCACCAAATCATGTTTGAAATTGCAATCTATTATATTGTACACCATTGGCCGAATCTTGTTTAATTTTACATGTGATATGTGAATCATGTTAGTAATTGCAATCTCTCTATTACTGTACGTTGCATGCTGATGGTCAAATCCTCTTAAAAAATGATAGCCGAAAACTCAGCAAACATTCTCTGCGTGATTCCCATAGCGAACAGATCCCTATGTGAAAGCCAATTTGCTGCAAACGACAAGAAACGGATGTTTTATGTTTGCATACTTTCGGGCCGCCATGTGAAATTTCCGCTGTTGTAAGCAGGCAGTTTGTAATAAAATAATCTTTTTTAATTGCTGTAATATGTTTTATCCCCAATATTTTTCAAGGCCGTAAATCAGTTTGTTCTAAATGCACTGCCGCCGAATAATTGCCAAGCTTGGCTTATGTTATCAAGCTAAGCATATTCTTGATTTAGATGCGAACACCTGTCTGCATTACCAGCCGCTGCGAGCTCACATTGCGCCTGGTGTCGGCTGCTAAATAAAAAGAAGCGTTTTGTGTCCCGACAAATAAACATGATTTACATGGTGATCTCAAATGAGAACTGAGCAATTGCAATTTTAGCAATTCCAAACCGCCTTTAACAAATGATGGACTCTAAATGAACCAACTGACAGTGTCTCTTCAACTCTTTGGCAAGTAGGAAGAACCCAACCATCACTTTGATAGTCAGATGATCGGTATTCCAACAGGACACACTTGTAGTAATTTAATTCTAAGGCCTCATTCACACGAGAATCGGCCGGCACGTACAGCTCCGTGCTGCGTGCACAGTTGTATCGGGCAGCCCCCGTCTTTCTCTATGGAAGTAGGCGGCTATAGGCCGCCCTACACTTACCCCAAGTGCAGGTCGGTGCGGATGAGGGTGTCCCGGCTCGGACGCAGACAGGATCCAGACAGACACTGCAGACATGCAGTGCGGGTGAGCGTAGGGCGGCATACAGCCGCATACTCCCATAGAGAAAGACAGGGACTGCGTACTAATCACACACAGCACCTGTCCTTCCCGGGAGCTGCCCGATACGGCCGTGCATGCAGCACAGAGCTGTACGTGCCGGCCGTTTCTTCTGTGAATGAGGCCTAAGGGTGAACACATAGAGCTCTTTCACAGCTCACTGTACAGATATTTCTTAGGGCCGGTGCACACCTAGGCGATTTATCGCGCGGTTTGAGTCGCGCGATATAGCACAAAACACAGATTTGCATTGAAGACAATGAAGGCTGTTCACATCTTTGCATTTTGTCGCGCAACCGAAATTGCCTGTCACACGAAAAGGTGCAGGAGCTATTTTCGGGAGGTTGTCGCTCAGTTTGGGTCCCATAGACATCTCTACGCATTGAAAACCGCGCAGTTTTCAATGAACAGTTGCGCGATCGAAAACCTAGCCTCAACCAGTGTCCAAGGAAGCTACATTTAATGCCAAATTTCTTGCCAAATATCTCCTCCAATGGAGATGCCAAGGAGGATATCCATTTCCAACACACAGCGCCGAACCATCAGCCATGGAGCCGATGACTCAAACACTGCATGTGCTATTTTAATATGTTTAAATGCATTTAATTACCCAGGAAAAATGTATGTGTGTCAACCCATTAGGGCTTCGCATGGAGCTCATGAAAAGTGCATTTGGAATGGAAAAACAGATTTACATCAGCAGGTGCTCAATGGATCCGACCATTCATACGCTTCATTATTCCAACCCATTTATATGATATTGGGAGATTTCCTAGACACGCTAACGCTGGAGATGCGATGTATGTATCCTGTATATAATTGCTGTGGAACTCCATGAAACTTCATCAGTGATGGAAAAATTACAAATCAACAGCTGAGTTTAATAGGCTATCGGAACCGTAGTACATCAACATCAATCAAAAGCTGGTCTATAAAGCTTTTAATAACGTGCCATGAATATTTGAAATTCCCAGTATGGGGATAATTAAAATAAAGGCGTGGGGTGAGATATTTTCCAACATGCAGCTGTCTTCTTCTTCAGTAATCCTATGGGAGAGTGCAGTCAACTATCTCTCTTTTACTGTATAATGGTAGCTTACAGAACACCATACGGTTCCCTGTATGGATGCACCGATACCAAGTACCGTACTCGATACAAGTACAGATACTTTTCCAGCTCCAAGACTAGACTAGAGAATAATTCTAAAGTTAGGAGGCAGCTGTCATTTGTAAGGAGCACACGGAGCTCCTGGGATTTGTACATCTCTGTTTTAATGTATGATTTTGTTTTTATAAACATATACGAGTGACCCACCGATACCATTTTTCCAAGTACAAGTACTGATACTTGCCCAAGTACTCACAGACACAAGTACTGATACATTTTTGTTTATTGTCATGTGACAGTTTTTCTAAAACAATACAGACTAATGATTTCAGGACAGTGGTGGAGCGCCAGAATCAGGCCCCAGCTGCAACCTCTGCAACCCTGGTAGTTCTCATTAAAATGCCAAGTATCGGCACTGGTATCTGAAAAGTATCGGTGCATCCCTAGTTCCCTGCATTCATAGTTGCCAAATATCTACCTTTCTGTAGAAATACAAGATTTTTTTTTAAAGTACATAGTTGTAAATGTTAAAAATACACTACTATATGGTCAAAGGATTGTAGACACCTGACCGTCACACCTGCATGAGCCCACCTGAAAGTGACCCTGCAGAGCCCACCATAGACTCTCTATGGTGGGCTCTGGAGGGTCTCAGATGGGCTGGTCACACCCCTGCACACCTCTTACTTGTCAGCCCCGAGCCGCTGTTAGCCTCCTCCGTTGCTGGGCCCCGCCTCCTCCTTCAATGCCGACGTTGGGCCCCGCCTCCTCCTCCACTGCCAATGCCGGGCCCAGCCTCCTCCTCCACAGCTGCTGGTGGCTGTCACTGACTCAGCAGCGACTGTGAACCAATGTCTATATGGAGCTGGCTTTGTGCACCTAAACTTTAGTTATGTTAAGGGTGCCATACATTTGTTTATATACTATAGCTTTTATATGCTCATTTTTTAGACAGCACACAACTCTAGACTCACCTAACCATGATGACACCCATAGTGTATGGGCTCAGACTCTTGTTTCATATGAATATTTATGGTGAAGCTGCTGCTAGATTGCACTATTGGGCAAACGTGGTCTTCCTTATACACTGAACTACTTTACAACTCTATTGATCACCAAAGAAGAAAAAGAAGAAATAGCTCCTGGACTGTATAGAGCCTTTTCTCCTCATCTCATGCACCCCTACAGTTTTCTTACCAATTTGTGAATTTTGACGATGGAGCATGGAGCCAGCTCCCCGGCCAATCAGGAAGCCGGGCAGTGTGCAATGACTCGCCGCCTAGCTTCCTGATTGGTCGGGAAGCCGGCCAATCAGGAAGCCAAATATCACTATCCGCTCCCCGCCCCACGAGTCACTATCCGCCCCCCGGCTTTGTGATTGGCCAGAAAGCTGGCTTCATGCTCCCTCATTAAAAGTGAAAGCCAATTTGATGCAAATGACAAGAAACGGATGTTTTATGTTTGCATATTTTCGGGCCGCCATGTCAAATTTCCGCTGTTGTAAGCAGGCAGTTTCTAATAAAATAATCTCCCTCGTCATCGAGTACCGATAGTTTTTTATTCGTACTCGCCGATACCAAATACTGATACCGGAAGTCCCATTAAAGAGGCCAGGCGGCTTGTAAAGACTCGCCACGTGGCTTCCCGATTAGCATGGAAGCCATCTCCATGCTCCGTCGTCACCAAGTGACAAGGGAGCATGGAGCTGGCTTCCCAGCCAATCAGGAAACCGGGCGCCGTGTAATGACTCGTTGCCCGGCTTCCTTATAGGCCAGCTTCGACCAATCAGGAAGCCGGACAACAAGTCATTACACAATGCCCGGCTTCCTGATTGGCCAGAAAGCCGACTCCGTGTTCCCTTGTCACATGGTGACAAGGGAGCATGGAGACGGCTTCCATGCTAATCGGGAAGCCATGTGGCAAGTCTTTACATGCCGCCTGGCTTCCTTAATGGGACTTCTTGTATCGTATTTGGAATCGGCGAGTACCGAATAAAAAATATCGGTGCTCGTATTCGATACCGAGAAACCGGTATCGGTGTATCCCTACTGTATAGGATGTGATGACTCACAGGACCTTAGACCACTGGAGCGGAAGAGGAAAAGAGGCTGAAGGCTCCAGTCTAGCAGCCAGCTGGGATTGCGATTCGGGTGAGTATATTATTTTAGCTCCCTAGACAGCACAAGCCCATAACCCTTGCAGTGCAGGGGGTAGTCCTACTGATAGGGTTAAGATTTGATTTGCCCGGAGTTCTTCTATAAAGCTAGTGAACTAGTATTGCTGCAGTTTTTTGTTCCTTCACTCTCCCAGTGCTCCGACAACTGAACAAAACTTACAGGGTTATTCACAAAAGGGTGAAGGGTTTGGAGAAGGCAGGAGAAGGGAACAATCTAGGACAACATAGCTGACCTGGAAAGTGAGCGGAATTGGAGAATGTTTCCAGTTCAGCTATGTTGTCCTAGATTGTTCTCTTCTCCTGACTTCTCCAAACTCTTCACATTTTTTTGAACAACCCTGTAAAATGTATACGTTTTGGGTGTACTGCCGCTTAAAAAAAAAGCGTAAAACGCAACGGGTGCCATTGGGTCAGTTCACTAAGCTGTTCTTTCATCACGTGGTATTTGTCTTCTCAGAACATTGAGATCACATCCATAAATGTATCATAGTTGCACAATCTTTTGTTTTTGCATGAAATAGATACGGTATTTAGCTCATCCAAGCTTTTATTTCTCAATAAAACATAAACATTCTCATAAAACATTAACATTATGCAACAGGCAGCTGTGCATAATAACGACATTTACAAAATTGATCTTTCGATTCAGTATAAAAACGGAATTGCATTTTAATTATTTAATTGAACTCGGTGGACTTGTGTGTTTTTTCAACCTGATGAACTATGTAACTATGTAATTCAAAAGATACAAAGATCGATATCTAATCACTTGCCGTCCGCCCGTTGCAAAAAAACGTACTGACGGCAAACTCACATGGGCGGGTTGCCATAAATAGACGGCTTTTTTTTTCTGCTAACGCGCGCGCCCCCTAATGTGTGCACGGGCAGAAAAAAAACATCAGTTCTACACAGCCGTTACCGGCTGTTTCACATACAAGCGATCGGCGGCTCTATAGCCTGCCGAACGCTTGTATGTGCTGGCTGCGTGTACCCAGTCTTATAGACCCCCTAATGTCTAATGTCTCCATAAAGAGGACTTGTCAGTGTACCTTTGCTATTATATAAGGCAATTGTTATCCCCCTATGTGATAGCAATAACAATAAGTGAAAAAAAAAACCATAAAAAAAGTAAAAAAAAATAAATAAAAGTCACATATAAAAAAGTTTTTAAAAAGTCCCCCACCCCCACGTTTAAGCACATATAAACGTAAATATGCGTCAGATACGCCAGAAAGCGAAAACGACAATTGCGCTACACATGTTATATATCGCCGCAAACGATCTGTTTCTTTATCTGTCTTAAGACTCATCTCTTTAGGGAAGCCTATCCCACCTCAACCTAACCACTGAACCTTTACATTCTCACATAATTCATTCCCACAGCTACCACAGCTACCTCATGTATCATTTCCCCCTCCTCTTTTAGATTGTAAGCCCTCAGGGGCAGGGCCCTCCTTACCATCTTGTCTTGAATTGTATTGTAACTGTAATGTCTTCCTTATATTGTGAAGCGCTGCGCAAACTGTTGGCGCTATATAAATACTATGTAATAATAATAATAATCTGTCCCCAAAAAATGGTATAAAATTCATTTCAGTACAGCGTTGCATGACGAAATAAATGTCAGTCAAAGTACCGCAGCGCTGAATACTGAAAAATGGCCTGGATGGGAAGGGGGTTTAACACCGCGGACTTCAACTGGTTAAATATAAGTTTTTCCTGAGCTGTGCAATAAAACCTTCAGATCAAAATTGTCACTTACAACAATGAACAGTAATGAAGGATCTGTTTGGTGAGTAAATCGCCCCCCTTGTATTAGAAACATATGCAAGGCTGCAGGGAGCAGATGGACACTCTCTTATTACTATTTGTTTTCTTTGTCAGAATATTTCAGAATATTTATTTTTAGTCTGAACATTTTTGTTGAAGCTGCAGATTTTGCTGCTGTGTTATATTTGGCTATTTTCTTACATGTGGAATGTTTAATGTAGGATTAAACTGTCAAACTTTTTTCCAACAACAAATCCAGATCAAACAAATATACATCGCCCAGCAAAGTATTTCTTTACATTTTCGCCCAAGCACTTACAGTCATCATCTTTCTGAGCTCTCTTGCCTTCGCTTCCCTGAACTTCCTGTCCAGTACAAGATCACAAGGAACAGAGCAGCAGAGCAGTCTATAGCAACTGTTCATCTACTATCGTGGATAAGGGAAGAAAGATGAAGGGGGGAGCCACAGCAGGGAGTGCCTTGCCTTGCTGTAACTGTGTGTTTGTACAGGAACAAGGCTGGGGGAGTAAAAGCTAGATGATGCTGGACGCCCTTCAGCCAGAAAACGAGGTAGGCTCTCTTGCTGCAGCGTCTAATGCACATTGGGAGAAGCTCACAGTGTGCAGTGAAATCAAAGCAAGCCATTTAAAGTGATATTAAAGTCAAAAGGTTTTTAGGGTATTTGAAATGCTGATTAAATCACTTAGAATGGATGCTGATCCTTGATGTTTAAATGTTTTAGCAGAATCAGCTGGTCTCCTGAGCACTGGCCCTGATATCCTGTTTTAGGGTGGCACCCTTCCCTTGCAGGGTTCCTATCGAGCCACCCATGTGTGTGCTAGTAAGCTGTGTGTGTCTCCACACACATACAGGTACAGCAAGGCACGACACTTCCCAGCTCCCTGCTTTGTGACACTTTGTGACTGCAACAGGAAGTGAGGGTTAATCTCTCCAAAAGGATGCAGGCAGTAAAAAAAACCTGACAGATTTGCTAAGCCCCCCACCATCCTCCTTGTACAAAAGTCAAATAAAAAAATGCCTGACGTTGGACTGTAATGTCTCTATGGTATAGGGAGGCGCTGGTATCAGACGTCAGGGAATGTACAATTTTTATACAATGATAAAATTGGCAAAGGTTAAACGTAAAAAAGAGAACTCTGAGGTAAGTGTTTTTCCCCATAGTTCTCCTAAGGGTCGTGGGAAGACATAAACTAGCGTCCTCCCATGACCCAAAGCTCAGTATACCGCGAGTTACAGCTCGCGGTATACTGAGACAGCTGCAGGCGGGACGGATCCCAACATTACTGTCGAGATCCACCCAGGTGCGTGAGTGAAAGCGGGCTCTGCCTATCTAGAAAAATAGAGAGACAGCTGTGCACGCCCCTTCTCCCGTCCGTTCTGCCAGTCAGCGCTGGAGGATCGGAGCGGGGAGGTGGGGAAACTCTCAGGGTGCTGAAACCAGTTTCCCTTTTCATCACAGTATTTTGATGCTTTTTCTGAAACATAATTCAGCCATTTAGTAACAATTAGACACAGAGGGGAAAAAAACTGGTATACAGATGACTGCTACAGGGAACATTTACTAATCTGATAATCAAAATATGGAAGAGCATGCCAAAAAAAAGTTTCCAACTGTTACTTTCAAGTAGTGATAACTCAAAATGTGAACTCGCTGGAATACATTGTAATAGAAGATGGAAACCCCGACTGAATGACAGTTCACCAAAGCACTCTGTGTATCAGAAACAATCACCGTTTTTTTTAACCCTTTGTGCCACTTGTAGCCTCCATCAGAAGCCGGTGTGGCAAGGTGACAACAATTGTGCAAGAGCACAATTGGAAGACAGGGACTTCCTTGTCCTTATAAGAGGAAGTGCCTGAACGTGGAGCTTCTAGGCAGGATGACCAGGGTGTTATTTTAATAAGAGCCGCAGAATTTTAAATATTGAAAATTACTTTTAAAATGATATTCACGTGGTAAAGTTCTTGAGAATTTTGTGATTGGAAATACATATCCTTTAAAAGGAAGCTAAGTGGACTCTTTGCTATTTAATGTTTTTGCTTTAGTTGTTTTAAACAGAGACAGCTAAATTTTGGTGCAGCATTATGTGTTTCCGCTGGCCACCAACACCATGCGAATGCTTGCTGCTAATACAGGGTATGCGGCATCCAGGGCCGCTATCAGCATTTAGGAGAGGATAGAAGACCATCTCCATCCAGAGCTGCTCCACTTCCCACCTCTGCCATGCTGCTGCAGCTCTGCTGTGAAGGGGGCTCCTGGTGTAAAGGAGGGCTCTGATGTGAAGGGGGGATCCTAATGTAAAGGAGGGCTCTGATGTGGAAGGGGGCTCCTGGTGTAAAGGAGGGCTCTGATGTGGAGGGGGGCTCCTGGTGTAAAGGAGGGCTCTGATGTGGAGGGGGGCTCCTGGTGTAAAGGAGGGCTCTGATGTGGAGGGGGCTCCTGGTATAAAGGAGAGCTCTGATGTGAAGGGGGATCCTGGTGTAAAGGAGGGCTCTGATGTGAAGGGGGGCTCCTGGTGTAAAGGAGGGCTCTGATGTGAAGGAGGGCTCTTGGTGTAATGGAGGGTTCTGATGTGAAGAGGGGACTTTGATATGAAGGGAGCTCCTGATGTAAAGGAAAGGCCTGCAATGAAAAGGTGATATGAAAGGAGGCTCGCAATGTGAAAGGGGGAGCTATGATGAGAAGGTGGGGCTCTAAAGAAAAGGAGGATCTGATGTGAAGGGAGGCGCTGATGAGAAGGGGGGCTCTGAAGTAAAGGGGTTCTAATTTGAAGGGGGGCTTTGGTGCTTTGATCTAAAGGTGGGCCCTGATGTGAAGGGGGCTCTGATAAGGATAAGGATGTGGTATGAATTTTGGGGGGCCGCATTTTTTAAATTTTCTATATTTTAGACTTGGGGTGCCTCAAGATTTTGCATGCTTTTAAAGGGTGCCATGGCTGAATAATAATTGGGAAAGATTTCCTTAATTCACCTTCACCAGGGACAGTCACTGATCATAAAAACTTTTCACATCAAACTTATTCCTGACTTCTCGGCGGCCTCCGTCCACTTTGACTTACTCGGCTGATTGAGTTAAGAAACTCTTACAAATCAGTTTCTGAGCGCGGCAAGTGTCGGAGAAGTTATGATTTTTAGCTATCATTTTTCATGGAAATGATCCTTACAAATAATATTTCTTTTCACCTCTAGCTATAATTAAAATGTTTATAGATTCTGCAGTTTCAGTGCAAGCAGAACTGTCGCTTCAGAATGAGCCGCTAATATATTAGGAGACTGCCAACGGTATTGCGCTTCGCTCGGTCTTATAAAGGAGTTTTATTATGCCGTGTTGTTGCATTCATTTTGGTTTCACTTTAAATGGGAACGGAGATGAAATTAGGGGATTTCAGTAGAAAAATGTTCCAGCCGTTGTGCTTGACTAAACAGGAACGGTTTCAGTAATTGAGATAAACAGGCGTACAGGTTTTTAGGGGGGTGTATTATATTTTTCATTACAATAAAGTGCGTTGTTGGTTGAGAGGATTTAGTGAGTCAAGTAATTTAATGGGAAACTAAATGATACATTTAGGAAAGTCTTCGTTTTAAGTGAGTTCCTATTGTCGGCAGTGCATCACTATGAAGGCGACTCAATATTGGTAGATTGGTAGTATGGGACAATTGAATACAGAAGGTTGTGCCTCTAACACACCGCTCAATAGGCTACTTTTGGTTTATTTTGACCTACAGTATACATATAGTGGGCCTTGGGCTATCTTTAGAGCAGATCTTCAATGACAAACGGGAGCAGGGGTATCTGTAGACATCTCGCCACCTGAGGCCGGGGGTGATGCACATCCGGGGGGAGGGGGGGCGTTGGGATTGGTGGCTCGTGGTACACATTCCTGGGAGTCCAAGAGTGGAGGCAGCTCATGGTATACAGCATATCGGAGCATTACCCTTTACGAAATTCGTTAGCGGTAGTCAATACGAAATTTCATTTGTTGGACAAACTTTAGTTGCAGCAAAGTGACGTTTGAGAAGAAAAAAAACGATATGACAATTCGTACAGATTACCGCTAACTAATTTAGTCCAAATCCGAATTCCGAAACGAATTGACTTTCAGACCCGAATCCCGAAAAACGAAATATTGCAAAATCCGAATCAAAGCGAAACTAAACAAATTTTTGCCGGTGCACATGTCTAATAAAAAGTATATAGTTATATATAAAATATATATAAATTATACAGTTATATACAAAGTAAACTATCTTTAGTTGAGCGGTATGTAGTACTATACATTTTGATAGCCATGGGAAAGATATATCACATATGGTAAATACACAAATTTTTGCCATGATTTTTGCCATGATTTTTGCCATGAAATAGCTCAATAAAAAAAAAAACGTTTTACAAAGAGCTACTAAGACCGGGATTAGCAATCCATTATAATGAAAAGAATATCATAATTAAATCAAGAATCTTCTAATCTATCTTCTGATGACCATATTATAATTAACAGCGTTATTTTTCTCTTCTGCACACTACTTAATCATAATTTGCCGATAAGCGAATTATGTATTTAAGCAAAACATTTTTTTTAAATTAATTCATCCCTCTTTCGTTCATCAAAAAAAATATATAATGAGCAGTCGAAGATATTTTGGAGCTTGTTTGGTGTTTGTTTGCAGTGTGTTTGACATTGATTGTTCCTCTTTGGTGTCCTCTTATGACCAAACCCATTAACATCATGATTTTGCAACTACTGCCAACTGATGACATATTCCTGTCTCAGAGTGATGATGCAAACACAAGCTCACTATTTAACCATTAGCTTGTGCATTCAGTCTCCGCCCTTGCATGTGTTCTGATCTACCAAGTTGTTCCTGTTCTCCGTGTATGACCCTGGCTCTGGCTGACTGATCTTCTTCCTGACTCCAGCTATTGTTTCCATTGAGGTCATCCTGCTTTCAGTGTCCCCTGACCTGTTTCGGCTCACTACCCGCTTTGGCACCTGACCTCTGGCTTGGCACTGACGACGTCCTGGATTTTCTCATTGCTTTTTGCCATTTATGTTTATTGTTGTTTCCAATAAACTCCTTTTATTTTTTTTAAATCTGCACTTTACGTTTATTTCTGGTTTCTTGGTTCACTAATAGTACTCAAAAGCCATGAATCCTGACAATATGTCAGTGGCAAAGAGACCACCAGACCCTAGCTATCTGAGGTTTAATAACACATGTTTCCTTAGGAGGTTCTATCACTGCCACCTAATGTGGAACTCTAGATTCCAATTTAATGGATTTGATGTAGGGGTGCAAAATGTAGGGGGGCACTTAATGTTTCTATGTAACAAATGTGAACTTTTTGAATGAACTTTCATCTGTAGACACTAGGGATGCACCGATACCGATACTATTATCGGTAATGGTGCCGATGCTGAGTATTTGGTCGAGTACTCGCTCAAATGCTCCGATGCCTAGCCCGATACTTGAGCTTCCGGTATGTAATGACTTGCTGTAATGACTCGCTGCCCGACTTCCTGGTTGGCCGGCAAGCTGGCCAATCAAGAAGCCGGATGGCGAGTTATTACACGCCCCCGGCTTTCTGATTGGCCAGAAAGCCGGCTTCATGCTCCCTCATCACCTGGTGATGAGGGAGCATGGAGCCGCCTTCCCGGCCAATCAGGAAGCCTGATTGGCCAGAAAGCTGGCTCCAAGCTTTCTCATCACCTGGTGATGAAGAAGCATGGAAACAGCTTCCCTGCTAATCAGGAAGCCAGGTGGAGAGTCATTACATGCCACCCAACTTCCTTAATTGGACTGCCGGTATCAGTATTCGGAGAGTACTGGAAAAAAAAATATTGGTACTCGTACTCGATACCGAAAAACCGGTATTGGTGCATCCCTAGTAGACACTATTTAATCCAAATCTAATGTTTGCCTGTTGAAATATGTTGAAACGGTCAACAAATACCATGGGGTGTACTTACTATTTCACACAACTGTACTTTTGTACATTATCAAAGCAGCCCATTCTAGGACATAGGAAAGAAGTCAGGCTATCACAGGAGCTCCTTGAAAACCTATCATGAAGAAAGACTAAAATTTGCCATGTATATCCTTTTTTTATAATGTTTTCTCTTTTCCCGGGGCTCTGACACCTGAACCCGTAAATTTTGTTCCACTTAGGCAGAAAAGCCCTGATCAAAAAGCCGTTTAGTGAAATCATATTTATATTTAAACACACTGTAGAACATGCCCAGGGCTATTCCATCTGACATCTGTGTGCAGAGAAGCACAAACAGGAAAATATGCGCTGCCTGTAGAGCGCCGGGTAGGGAAAATAAAGTTTGACTTTTGATTGCTAACAGCATGGCGGTGGCACTCCGCACATTTTGAGAATGCTTTATGAATGAAGGAAAGGTGCCCTGTTTCTGTCATGTAGATGGGATTTTCAGCTGAACTGGGACTTGAACAGATGGCAATAGGAAAGAAATGATGTTTGATGGAGATTTGCCATTTTTTCCCCAATTCTCAAGTGCTTGAGCACGATAAATCCTATTTCTAGCATCAAAGCTGTTTTTATTATTTGTGACAAGACAAGATTGCTTTTGAAGGTCTTCAAATCATGTAAATAATATGCAATGATGTATTTGGCTGTCCAAACCTGACGAATGTTGCTTAATGTCTAGCGGTCACTAGAGAATTCATGTAGGTAGTTCACATGCACTATTTAAGCCACTGTTGTGGATCTCTGACCAACACACCTACAGTACATGGCCAAATGCAGTGGTCCCCAAGCTATGGCCAGCAGGTTGGTTATGGCCCATTGGTTGTTTTAAGGGCCCCTGAGAAGGCACTGCATGCAGGGATTTTCCATTGCAAGCGGGAGGAAGGGAGTCGGTGTATGCAGAGTGGCAGCAGGTGCCAGAAAGAAGAGCATTCTATCATAAGGAATTATTAGGTGGAATTGTCTCATTCGTGATGTCAATATGAAGACAGGCACAGGGCATGCAGCCTGCACTGTGGTAAGTGCCACTGGACATGAATGTTGGGGGACCATTGCTGGGTCTCCATTGCTCCCACTTTCCACTGACACCATTACTGCCATTAACAACAATGCTGGGGCACAGTTCCCCCCACTGACTTCTGATATCAATGATGGAGCATCTTCTACTGACATGGGGCATTAGTATTCCCACTAACTACCAACATGGGGCATTTATTACTCCCACTGATGCTGGACCATTTATTACTCCCACTGAAATATGACACAGGGGTCCTTATAACGTCTACTGGCCACTGATGCAGGCTGTCAGGGCGCATCAGTCTGCACCTATAGTACAGCTTCTGCCCGGATTGCTGCACGAGCCGATGCGAATGCGCGTATTCAGCGCTACGGTGCTAATAGTGTGCATGCACAAAACTGATGCACACATCCACTGCGCGTGTGCATCAGTTTTGTGAATGCGCACTATTAGACCATGCACGTGCAATAGCGTGCACACACCTGTTCTTGGCACTAAGCTCCTGCATCTGCACCTCACTGAGAGATCTTCAGCTGTATTCTACATTCGTGATCCTGTTCCTGATACCTGTTTGACCCAGCTTGAATCCTGACTCTGCCTACTTGCTGCCTGCCTTGTGACTTCGGCTTGTCTCCTGACCATCCTTCCTGACCATGTTTTCTGATTTGGTACCATTCTGCTCGCAAGTGTATGACCCGGCCTGCTTCTGACATCGCTTCTGCCTCCTGCTTCTGTACTATGCACATTACCGATCTGGCTTGTTCCTGACTTCGCTTCTGCTCTTCACACCAGTGCCATCCGATCTGCTATCGCCACCAGCTACCTCTGGCATCCAGTCGTCGGCACCATCATCTCCGGTGTGTCAAGTATTGAGATCAACCACAGGCACTCGTGCCCCTTTCTGTCTGTTCAACTGCTGTCTCAACTCCAGTGGGGCTCAGACGAGAATTGCAAGGGGAGGTCTTCATCACTTCAGGCTCACACCAAGGTACATGACACAGGCGCATTTATTACTCCCACTGACACCAGCACATTTTTTTCACCCATTGATCTCCAATGCCAGGGTATTCTTTTACTCTTATCTGCCACAGTCTGGCTCCCAAGCAGGCGGATTGACAGTGAACTGGCCCTTTGTGTATAAATTGTAATGACCTGTTGTAGATGATGGTACACCTTTTAAGTCCAACTGACATCAAAGAAATAGATATGCAGTCAGAAAAGCATTGTACTAACAACCTCAATTTTCATAGCCTTGCCTTCACTTTTTTGTTACAGCATTTGCACAGTGTGTCTAAATGTGATTGCAGAGGCCATTAGGTATAGTTAGAGCCAGTACACCCTGTAATCAGCTCTTAGTAACAGACCTAGACAAACTCCATGTCTTTCTCTGCAGTAGGAGCCTCTGTAAGGACACACCGTGATGAGGGGCGTGGCTGTTACTCAACTCTGACAGCACAGAGCACTGAAGTGTGAAAGCAAGAAAGGGCATTTTCAATAGGAGAAAAGGGTCATTTAAATCCTTTCCAAGCAAAAATGATATCACATAACATGTCGGAATACAAGACTTTTAAGAGTGGTGTGAGTTCAACTGGGTGTTAACACTTTAAATTCACACTTTAAAATAAATAATCACAGAAAGGAAAGCAGTATCCTACCTGTAGGATCAAAATCTGCAAAATAGTCTGGACAGTTCTGGGTAATATTATGTCCGGCCGGAGAGTCGTCCCAGCAAAGCCACCCATCCCAGGTGCGGTTACAATATAGACCTGTACATTAAAAGAATTCAAATATTTATTAATGGCAATGGACAAACTTAGGTACTGCCAACGATACGTCATTCATACTTAAAGTAGATCTACACCCAATCACTAAAATCTCACATAAGCTTTAACATGTTAAACGTACATTTTTTTAGTCTTTTTAGATCTTTAGCTTGCTACAGAAGCAGGAACACAGGGAATGGCTGAAAGACACAGGAAGAGCTCATCAGCACTGAAAGAAGTGCAGTGGTAGAGCTTCAAGTCAGGGAAGCCAAACTCTACTGGGTATGAGTTTGGGTTTAAAGGAGCTCAAGAATTCAGGAAATATAACAGATGCCAGATAGGTAGATGTCAAGGATGCAACAGTTTGAAAGACGCTGATGATGCGACCAAACTGATAAATGTCCCCCATGATATGGCCAAAGGTCTGCCGACACCTGGCCATCACACCTACCGTATATGAGCATTCTGGAAGGATATCCCATTCCAAAGCTATGGACATTAATATGAAGTTGCCTTCTTTTTGTGGCTATAACAGCCTGCACTCTTTTGGGAAGGCTTTCCACAAGATTGTGGAGTGTGTCTGTGGGAAGTTGCGCTTATTCAGTCAAAAGAACATTTGTAAAGATTGGTATTTGGGTTTTTATGAGAAGACATGGTTTGCAATCGGCATTTCAGCTCATCTCAAGTGATCAATATGGTTGAGGTCAGTGCTTTGCGCAAGCCACTCAAGTTCTTTCAGACAGAACTGGTCAAACTATGGCACCGGGGCGTCCTAAGGTGGGGTATCACGCTGTTACCTGATGGTGGCCATCTTGGTGATGGACGCTGGCAGAGAGAGGAGGGGACGTTCACCCAGTGGTACAAGGTATGCCCACTACCGATAGCAGATAGCGAGGAAGGGTGGGTGATGCGGTCGGAGTCCTTCATTGCTTGTGTGCTAGTAAGCTGTGTGTGTCTCCACAAACACACAGGGCAATCAAGGCAAGTCGCTCCCTTCTCCTCCTTCCTCTCTTCTCCATGCTAGTAGATGGACAGCTGCTGGAAAATGCTCTGTCTCTTGTGATCTTGTACTGGACAGAACATTCAGGGAAGCCGAGCTGGGAGAGTTGGAGCTATTTGGAGATGTCATGACTGTAAGTGCTCAAATAAAAAGTAATACTTTGCTGGGTATATTTGTATGATCTGGATTCATTATTGAGAAAAGTTTGAGAGACTTTAATTCTTGCTTTTTGTAGTCCCTTGCAACCAGGGGAGTAACTAGAAATCACAGGGCCCCATAGCAAAATTTTGTATGGGGCCCCGTGATTGCTAGTTATGCCACTTGCAGAGCCCACCGGAGAGTGACCCTGCAGAGCCCACCATAGACCCTCTATAGTGCGCTCTGGAGGGTCTGAGATCTCTTACCTGTCAGTGCTGTCCGCCGCTGTGGTCGCCATTCCCTGTTCCGTCCCGGAGCCCCGCCGCCTCTGCTATTGACGGGCCCCGCCTCCTCTTACATCACTGGCCCCACCTGCTCTTAGGTCGCTGGCCAGTGATGTAAGAGGAGGCGGGGTTGCTCATAGGCGGGCCCCGCCTCCTCCTTCTTTCCGAACACCGCTCTCATCTGCCGCAGTGGCTGGCTGTACTGACACAGCTCCGCATCGGCTTTGAGGGGAAATGCGCCGCGGCTGCTGCTGAGCTGTGTCAGTGACAGCCAGCACCATTACATGCCATACGACCCAGGCGGCCCACACGGCATCAGAGGGATGCCCTGGCCGGGCCCCCCGGTGCCCGGGCCCTATAGCAGCCGCCTGGGTCGCTATGGCAATTGTTACGCCACTGGTTGCAACCTACTGAACTGTTGTAATGTGCATTTCCCACACGTGTTACTGCAAAAGGAAAATGTACACAAAATGCTCCGCGGTAAAATATTTGTGTAGGTTTAGGAGAATCGGAATTCTAAAATTCAATTTCAACTGACTGTAGAATGGTTTAGCTATAAACGAAAGCCTTACAAAATACCATCAGGCTGCGTACAATCCTCCTCCAACGCTGTGCTGGGAAAAATATAGTTACGTTTCGCCTTTGTCCTCTAAGAATTGCTATTGGATTTTCAATCATCGAGATAAAAACCTTTCAAGAAACAAGCGTGAAACTTTATTTTTATTCCAAAACAGATCCGTTTTCCTTTAGAGAATCTGTGAAGGTTGTCTGGGGGGCATTCGACTTACTGGAGTAAAACACGCGGCGTGGAAGTGTTTCCTCCACCGGGGACGGTGACTGACATCTGTAATTATGATTGTATAGAGCGGAGGGGTTACGATCAATCAAAATACGGTTATGACATTTGAATCTTTATCAGCGTGTATCCAAAGCGACCATTTGTAAGGATTTCCAAAGATCATTTTTTTTTCATTTACGCGTTCCGCAGTAAAGGCCACTTTTACAAGGTTTGCTTCTATAGATTTAAATACATTTAAACGCATGGCTGTGTTGCTATTCATTTAGCTTTTATGTGGGATATGTGTCAGTTCGCTCAGCTTATTGAAGGTAATTGAGGAATGGCTTTACATTACTTACCTTTTATGAAGGGCAATTCAAGGACTGAATAGCAGGGGGGTGGGCAATGTCTCATGTTACAGTATAATAGGTATGGTAGGGGCTGCAATCACTGCCATTTTTTGTTCTGAAAATCAATGCTTTTATATTTTTTTTATCACTCATGTTAATATGACATCAAATATAATACTGGTCTAGTGGGAACACTGCACCATTTCCAGTAGTCTTTTCTTCGGCAGCCATGCTCTACAGCAACCTAAAGGCCAAATTCACTTTTTGAAAAATAAAATAAAAACAATGGGCAAGCAGGGGTAAATGGATAATGAAAAACAGCTCCGGCTCCAATACTCATCTCCTCTTCCTCTCTGGTGCTGCCTCCCACAGGCACCTTTCACACGGTCTGACCCGCATGGACCCTCTGCTGACTGGAACAGATGTCACTGGTGTGCCGCCCCAATGGGGCATAGAATATGTTATAGAAGTTAATATAGATAGAAGTTTTACACAGTGTGTTTTGCCTAACTATTTTCTCATAGCTAAATCCATGTGTTATCCTATGCTGCCATCTAGTGGCCTTTTGTTGTAATGTACATGTTTTTCTGTAATTATTCCTCATGTGACGATGTATTTTTCCCCTAGTGTACGCCCCTTCCTTCTTCCTGTGTGCAGTACTTCCTGTGTCATGGCCACAGTTAAGAGCCACATGTAACAGGACACACATATAATCTGCACAGTACGTAGGAAAGGCATCATTTTCTGACCACACAATACTATAACCATTCAACTGCTGTTCCTATCATCTGCTGTAACCCTGATGTTAAAGAATAAACACCTCTTTTGAATGAATCGGTATTGACGAGTTCAGCTATCTGACGAGGATTGTCCGCAGTGAGTATATCTGCTTATACAGGCCAGGCATAGAGGTCTCAGCAAGGGATATATTTCGCTATCACAACGATCGGAGTCAGAATAACTGTTGTGACATCTGTGTCAGTTCAGTTTTTCCTCCATCTTCCAAATGGAGAAAAAAATAATAATTTCCAGACCCATGTTGGTCTATGGGGAGTCGGATGTAAATTGACTTTTTGTCAGATTACCCATAGTCCGGCAGGATCAGATCCGGCAAAACGGAACTCTGACCCATTTGTTTTTCCAGACCTAGTCAAAGCCGGGGTAAATGGGGAGAGTTAATAATAACTCTCAAGCAACCACCCCCTGTGGTGCCGAGTTTCCCCTTAACCTCGAACTCCTCACTTTACCACAGCCTGATTCATCCGGCTGGCTAGGTTCCGCAGCCAATAGGTGAATGCAAGCAGCTGGGGGCAATAATCAGACTGATACTGGATATTTCAAATTTCAATAGCCAATAGCAGGCTGGCTAATGAAACCCCACCCATTGAGCAGAGCAGCGGACCCGCGACAGAAAGTTCTGTCTTAGGCCCGGTCCTCTGCTCAGTGGGCTGCTGCAATAGCCAGCCTGCTATTGGCTATTGCAATATGAAATAGCCAATAGCAGGCTGGCTATTTTAATCTCTGCCCCAAACGTGCTAAACATAAAAAATATTGCATTCCAATGTGCATTGTTCAAATTAGGGTGGCATCTGTGAGGTACAAAAATCCTGCAAAAAAGTCAGAGCGTGATTTTTGGGACAGATTCAAGGCGTCTGCAGCTATAATTATAGCCCCAAATGTGTGGAATCTGCGCATATGTTAAAATTTGCAAGTTTTTTTACCACACAGTTTTCCATGTGGCACAAAAACGCGTAATGCCATATGTGAATGGAGCCTCAATAAGCTTAAGGTGTCAACGGGACACATTCAAATAAGGGAAGTAATAAGATAATTGCTTAGCAGTGGCCAGACAACACCAAAAAAATCTGAGTTGGCTGAAATTTGAGCATTGTGTGTCCACTTCAGGACCCCCCATTCGACCAAAGTCGATTTTTCAACTGACTTTGGTAAAATGAGCTGGTCCAATATTCTTGGCCAAATAGTGACTACATCCAATTGCTGCTGTCACAATACAATAGCCCGGCACGGTGGAAGATTTTCCCATCCGTGTCTGTGAACGTTCTCATTCATCCAGGTCATGGTATATCTGGCCCTCCTTACCATCTTGTCTTGAATTGTATTGTAATTGTAATATCTTACTTATATTGTAAAGCGCTGCACAAACTGTTGGCGCTATATAAATCCTGTATAATAATAATATTAATAATAATCTGTAAATAATAAACAAAAACAACTGTACTTGCTGCATTGTTCTTGAAGACCTTTGGCTGGTCATCCAGATAACCAGCCAAATGTCTTCAAAAACAATACAGCAAGTCCAGTTGCCTTGATTTATTGTTTAAAGATTTCCCATCCATGCTGTAAGTATGGATGGGGTTATCAAGTTTTCCAATGGTGCACCGAGAAGCTCTGTATGCCCTTTTGCTCAGTTACAGTTGGTAAAAGTATCAATAAACAACTCCCACACCTCAAAAACCTTTGTGTCTATGTATCTTTTCAGAGAGTTGTCCATTTGTAAGACAAACATCGGTTTATCTAAGAAAAGGTTTAGGGCAGGAGGTTCAGGATAGATACATTTATGTTGGATCGCCTTTGTCTAACACTAATGGTACAATGAATAAAAGCTTCAAAAGCTAAAAAGAAATAAAGCCAACACAATAAAAAAGATGAAGGTTGTTTACCTGACTTTGAATATGGCGTGTCCCTTTTCATTTTCTCGTAACATTTGAACTGTGAGTTTATAATTCTTTGCCTGGCAATGGTTTCCTCCTGTGCTAGGGGCATGAGGGTGGGATCGGCATAATTTACTGTTGAGGTATAACCCGGAACCATTCTCTGCACAGAAAGGAAAATACGTTAGAACAGCAATGGTAATAGTGCACATGTATCGTGTTTGGAGGAAAACTGGCCCAACTACGTCTACAAACCTGGCTTGCCTGGGTGTCACAATCATTTCTGTCTCAATGACCCATAACAACCATGTACTATAGAAATTGTATATACAGTAGGTAGAGCACAAAAATCCTTATAAACAAAAAAAAACATATTTAAAAATAAAATGAAATAAAACTGACCTCAAACATTACAGTTTCCCTGTCCATTCAGGTTTAAGTGATGGAAACACCTGAAAGCTCCTAGCTATACCTACCTTCCTTATGCTCCCCCACTAATTGCTCGGTTGAATGCAGGAGTCCAAACCCTGTGTAAGCTCAGTGTCAGATGATGTCCGAGCTTACACAGGGTTGATGACATCATCCTCTTGCTCACGTGACACTGCTTCTGTCTGGTGATTGGCCGCTTAGCTCACATGGTTCCCCATACTAAAAAGTTCTGGGTATATCCTGAGTGGTCTAACAGAGCAACCGGATGTACCTATCTATCTATCTATCTATCTATCTATCTATCTATCTATCTATCAGAATTTTTTTTCTACATATTTTTTTTGTCTTTTTATCATTTTGCTTTCTTTTTGATTGTTCCTATAATGTGATTGTTACTGTCATTCAAATTTAAAGGAGAACTGTGGGGTCAGGGTTTTTCCCCTTAGTTCTCCTAAGGGTAACGGGAGGACACAAACTAGCGTCCTCCCGTCACCCAAAGCTCAGTATACTGAGACGCCGCAGCCGGGGCGGATGCCGACATCACTGTAGAGATCCACCCAGCTGCGTGATTGACAGCTGGCTCTGCCTATCTAGACGCAGGGCCAGCTGTACCCAACCCCTCCCCCGTCTGTTCCGCCAGTCAGAGCTGGAGGATCGGACAGGGGGGGAATCCCTGCAGGGAGCTGTGAGTGACAGTCACGGCTCTCTGCAGGGAGATGATCGAGAAGTGAGCGAGCAACGGTATGTGTTCGCTCACTCCCCGATCTATTGAGCCGACGTGTGACAGTTTCATTGTCAAAGGTCGGCTAGAACTATGAGGATGAGTGATTTTCACTCGCCTCATAGTTCTCCTTTAATGATTTTTCCAACAAAAGTTCCTTGATGCTCTTGCAGAATCCGCCAAATAATGACGGACCTTTATTGTCCTTGAATATTTCAACTTATTTCTAAAAGGATAATGTCAAGGGGACAAAATAATCTAGACCTTAATTTCCTAGGCAACCTGTGACTAATTCTTCTCTTAGTGACAGAATGTACTGTACAGTAATGATTGTAGACAAAGATAATGACTAAAGCTGAGAAAGAACACATTGTGGTAAAGGTGGCAGTGTATTATTATTATTATACAGGATTTACGCAGTTCTTTACTAAGGAAGACATTACAATCAGAATACAATTCAAGACAAGATGGTAAGGAGGGCCCTACCCGTGAGGGCTTACAATCTTAAAGGGAGGGGCAAGTGATACATGAGGAGGTAGCTTTTATATATATATACAGTAAATCTGAGTATATCTGATTAAATCTGCCCTAAGAACACCACGGGAAAGACTGCTACAGTACAAAGAGAAGAAAAACCCAACCAGGACGCCTCATGTAGTTACCTACAACCCTACTCTAGAGGTAATACGCAAAATTATCAAAGATCTACAGCCAGTACTCTCAGAAGACCCCATACTTAAATAAATATTCCCTCAGCCCCCAATACTAGCATTCAAGCAACCACTGAACCTGAGAAGAAAATTGGTACGCAGTAAGCTGACCCCAGAACAGGCGCTTACACAGAATGGCACAGTACAATGCAATAAACCCCGCTGCAAACTTTGCCAACATATATGTGACAGAAATACAGCGAGTCACAATAACAAAGCGTACACCATTAAGGGGTCATACTCATGCACATCTGCTAACGTGGTGTACATGATACAGTGTTCAGCATGTGACAAAGGTTGTTACATTGGGGAAACTGGCCTTAAGCTGCAGCTCAGGATGAACCTACACAGGAGCTCGATCAAGAACCACAAAGAGGATAAATATTGCACTCCAGTAGGACATCACTTCTCCCAGAAGGATCACTCCATCCAAAACCTCAAAATTAAAGTGATTGAAAATGATTTTACATTTCAACGCCATAAAGGAGGGACTTAATGTGGATTCTGGTTTTCTGACACACTACCAGAACTTTTTATGAATCTACAGAACATCACAATATTCATGTATGTGGTATATCTCTGATCTGTTTAGGGTTTATTTGTCATCCTACGTTTATTTTTTCTGTCTTTTGATTATCAGGAGGCATTTTTTACTCCCAGGTCCAACATTTATGACACCCCACTAACCCCCCCCCCCCCTCCTCTAACAGCTTTCTCCTGTCTTAACTGACAAACTGTCATGTTGATCAGTATTGCTTCTGACCTAAAGAAGAAGAGAGGTTCACTCTCCAAAGCTTGTCTTTTATATATTTTGTTAGTCCAATAAGAAAGGTATCCTTGCACACTGCAATACTGCGTTTTTGTCTTTTTGGACATCTTGTCTACTGGACTAATACGGCTTACCCATTTATATTGCACTATATATATATATAACATTTTTAACTTTCCCATCAGGAACGCCATAGGATGTATCCAGTGAGATTTCTATAGACCTTGTACAAGGGCATAGAATAGCATAAGACTGCTATGGGGCCTGGAAGTAGAGGAGGGTCCTGCACTATCTTGCTACACAATAATTTGTATAGGTAGCAAAAGCACCTGATAAATGTGGATTAGTGCTTAGCACTTCTACCCTCCTGCACTGGGGCCCTTGGTTTAAATCCCAGTCAAGATGCTACCTGCATGGATCTTGCATGTTCTCATTGTGCTTGTGTGAGTTTCCTTTGGGTACCCTGGTTTCCTCCGACACTCCAAAGACATTCTGGAAAGTTAATTGGCACCTGTCTAAATTGGCCCTGTATGTATGCATGTGAGATAGGAACCTTAGATTGTAAGCTCCTCGAGGGACTGAAGTGAATAAAAAATATGGAAAGCACAGTGTAAATTGTCAGCGCATTAAAGAAGTTGTAAAGTCACAGCCTATACTATCCTGTTGTAACATCATCATTGTAATAGGAATACATAATAGAGTTGTTTTTCATAATGCAATCAAAGCTTCAAAAAATCCCTTTTATGTAGTGAGTGCTGCCTTCCCTCTGCCCATCACTTCCAACAACTTCCTGGATTCCCAGTGTGCTTTGCGTCTCTTTCCCTGCTGCTTGATGTGATGCAATCTCCATTACTCAAGACTACATAACCCATCATGCATTGCTTACAGCAAGCAATGCTGATGTTACATTGTTTAGACGTTAAGTTGTAGTTCAGAAGGCAGCTTTGTGAGAGTGGTGAGTGCATATTCACAGGACTGGGCAAAATTGTGTCAGCTCATTGAGGAAGTACATCCTATGGGCATCTTCAATAAATACATTTACAAACTTCTAGATGGATATGGTTAATAGGAGTGGGATAGAACCTAACTCTATAACAGATTATATAACAGATATACAGATATAAACAGAATATATCGCAGAGCTTCTTTTTCAGAGGAAAGCTGAAGGATGAATTATGCAGCAGTTTAGCAGCCGTACATATGATGTCACTCCTAAAAAACCAAGTAAATGACGTCATACATACGACCACTAAGCCACCACCAGTGTCTCGGAGCTTCTTCTCTTCCTCATGGTAGACGAGATGCAGGTTAGTGGAAAGGCTTGCAAGCAAAACACTGCAACTATGCTATATTGTGTCCTGAAAGAGAACATTCATTAACAGAGATGTCCTGGGGAAATACAAAATTCGACCACAAATCTGCAAATCTCTTTATTCTTGTGTGTTTTTGGATACATTTTTTGGGAAAAAATAACAATCTTCCATAAGCCTTGAGACACGAAGTTCACTGTATGCCGAGTTGGATGAGGAGCCACTGCCAGATGGAACCCAAATTGGCTGACTGCATTTAACATATACTGGAAGAAGGTTACTACACATACACTTGAAGGAGTGAAACCAACACATCTATCACGCTTGTGCATACATTTTTCCTGAGCAGTAGTGTCACAAAGAGGGTGCGGCCTGTACCAGGTGACACCATCAGAGGGGTGCAATCTTAGAGAGGAACAAAGGAGGGTGCTGTAGTAACAAGGATGGTGCAGTGTATCTTCAGATATGTAGAAAATGTTACCAGCACACCTATGACTAGTGTCAACAATCCATCTTCTTTATGGATGTAGACTGTCAAATAACAATGTTTCAGGGCCACGCAGGGTCTCCTTCATCAGGTTTTAATATGACTGTTGTTGACACTAGTCATAGGCATGCTGGTAACGTTTTCTACATACCATCGCTTCTACATACCATCTCATGTTTTCTACATACCATCTACATACCATCAGAGGGGTGACACCAAAATGACTTACAATCATTTTGGTGTCACCCCTTCTGAAAAGTTGGGCACTTGATCATGGACTGAGAACCCGACAGTTACATGAGAGAGGAGGGGACTCAGAAACATACCTTATCCCGTCCATCACCGAGAAAGTGCTGGCAGTTAAGTGCGTGTGATTATGCGCGTGCATGATGACGTCACATGCATGCAGAACGAGGTCACGCACGTGTGTGATGACATCCCAGCGGGTGTCACCCTGCCTAGGTATGCCTCTGTGCCTCACAGTAGGTTCTTGCTATGATTGTGGTCACTGAATCATCAGAAATTCAGTTTTCCTGGTCACAGCAGGGAGGACCTGACCTAAAATCATCCAATCAACACCAATAGGTTGGGTCACATCCACCAGTGATACTCAGCGGGAGGGGGGTCATTTCCTTACCAAGGGCACAGTAAGGGGAACATGTAAATGTAAATTGTCCAGGATAGAACATCACTGTTACCGGCACCGACCCAAAATATGCGGGATTGTCTTTGACCAGGAATGCCTCGAATGTTAACTCGCTGTACGTCTGTGTTTGCATATAATGGTTGTCACCAGAGCCATTCTTTACCCTCAATTACGAAGGTGAACCGACTGCACACGGACAGGCCTGGATTATCGCAGCAGCTTAGACTGAAATAAATTGCCACTTTGCGCTCCAAGACAGGAATACAAGCAATTATTACAGTATGCAGCGAGACACGCTGTGTTCATTTCCATATAAATTCAGGCTTCAGCAGACGCTCTGCATGGCGACGCATCTTAAGGTTTTACAGGTGCAGTTGGCAGGCAGCATGTTAATGCGGCCTGAAATTGTAATGTGGAAGAAAGCACGGCTGCAAAGTTTTAAAAGAAAACTATAATGTATTTTTTCCAGCACATATTTCAAGTTATTACTGTAACGTTTACTTTGCAGCAATTTGTTTTACATTTTTATATGGCTGATGTACCATATTTTTATTACTGTATTACAAATGGAGCTTAGTGGATTCCTTTTCATTTCTATTCAGCTTTTACAGCAATCTATCGATCAACTGTTTTCCGTCAATCATCCCTGACTGGTAGACTTGCACTGAGAAAGAGGTGTAGTGAGGTACAACCGCTGTTGAGCAGTGCAAAGTAGGACGCAGGACCTGTATATGTAATGAACAAATATAGTTGCTCTATGGCCTTGGTTCTCAACTGGTGGGTCATCATCCAAAAGTGGGTTGCGACTCCTTGTTCAGTGGGTTGCCACGTGCCTTCCACTTTTCTAGATGAGGCTCCTTAGTCTCCCCCTAGCGCAGCACTGTCAGTTCTTGCACCAAGCAGCCATTCAAAATATGCTGCCTGCTGCCGAGTGTCAGCTTGAGGTGGGATGGGATGGGGCTATGGCCGTGACGGAGCTCCATCCATACATGCATTGCTTACAGCTCCCTCGCGTGCCCTGTAGAGGTGTCTGGGGGTGAAGAATGCTCCGGACACAGCTGATTGAGCCCGCACTGAAGGCTGCTTTCCAGGCTTGGATAGGCTCAGGTTTGGTCCAGACCAGTGGCGTAACAATCGCCATAGCGACTCAGGCGGCCGCTATGGGGCCCGGGCACAGGGGGGCTCGGCCAGGGCATCCCTCTGATGCCGTGTGGGCCGCCTGGGTCGTATGGCATGTAAGGGTGCTGGCTGTCACTGACACACTGACACACTGAGCACTGACAGGTAAGAGGTTTGCAGCCCATCTGAGACCCTGCAGAGCCCACTATAGAGAGTCTATGGTGGGCTCTGCAGGGTCAATCTCAGGTGGGCTGTTTGGTATATCAGGTGGGCTTTGCAAGTGGCATAACTAGCAATCACGGGGCCCCATACCAAATTTTGCTATGGGGCCCTGTGATTTCTAGTTACACCCCTGGTCCAGACCCAAGCTCATCTTTACACATGGGATGTCTAAGTATCCATCCAGCCAGAAAAACAGCTGCTACTTGTTCCAAAGACCTAAAATAAAGCTTTAACGTGCATCCAAGGGCTGGACTGGTTTATGGAGATCCGAGAAAGTGAGTACAATGGTGGGGACAAGTTGATATCAGCTGGGGGTCACACTTTCACTAAACAAGGTGCAACAGACTGGAGGCTCTGCTAGCAAGTTTAATAGTAGAGTCCAAGTTTCGCACTTAACAGGGGGCCTAGACTTCAGTTGCCATACTGGTGGACAGGATCAGTAGCCCAGGAAGAGAAATTATAAGGCTAAATACATTCCTTGCTTTCTACAGTATATTTGTGTTTGCTCCCTGCTTGTACCCATCAAAAAACCTTGAATAAGCCTAAGGAACGTCCCATCCACATGGATTCTATGGATTGCTTATATGCAGAAAGTCCGGGAAACAGAAGGACATTTGAGCTGATCCCATTACAGTGCTCAAAGGACAGCAGCAGAAATATATCAACATAAAATATCAAGTTTGCAAGTTTGCTTTATTTGCCCACAATAAAAAGAGCTGAGATGTTGTTTTTTTTAATTCAATTTGTTATTTAGAAAATCATTTGGGAATACTTACAATTAAAAGAACGATTAAGAAGAAGCAGCAGGAGTTGGTTCTTCCTTCCATTGTCTGTTTAAGAATGATAAGTTCCATTGTTGTCATTCTGTGGAATGAAAAGAAAACAACTCATTATTATTCAATTATTACTCATCCTCTGTTGACTTGCAGAAAAATTGTTATTGACTTGTTGTTTATAATAAAGCGCATGACAGCGGAAACAAGCCGGGGGGTCCAGGTGGACCTTTACTTGTATATGTGTGACCTGGGCCATTCCGGTCAAGAGGATGCATGGCAAAGTTTACTTACAGCAAGGATTAAGCATGTAAATCAGCACATTTTTGTATGGAGATAAATGCACAATAGACTTAAAAGGGCAACTACCGCGAAAGATCATTTTTTTCTAAGAGTATGTCTACAAAATATACATAAAGCCCAACTCAGAGCAAATAATCCCCCAGTAGAGGTTTATAACAAAAACAAAAAAACAGCCCTGGCTGCAACACATACCAACTCTCCAGCGTTCTCCCTTGTGGTAATTTCCTGTGGCCGCTAGACGTCCTGAGTCTTCTGGGTTGAATGAAGCTCAATGTCACAATGTTATTCAACTTGGAAGACTGAGAACATACTGTGAGTACAGGGCACTATGGTCCCGATGGGGATGCACCACAGCCCCCTCTATTGACATACAATAATCCAGACAGGAGGGCTAGTGTAAGCTCTCAGTGTGTCGGACATGAATTACTCTTTCAAGATATGATAGCATTAAAATAATATCCTTGCACTGTTTGTATTATGTAGCAAAAAATTTAAATGTTGTCATCGTCCACATACTCACCTTCAGTTTCCTCCTCCACCACTCATATAGCCTCCAGGAGATAATAAAATACCCAGTAATATTATTATTATTATCAGGATTTATATAGTGCCAACAGCCCCTGAGGGCTTACAATCTAAAAGAGAGGGGGAAGTGATACATGAGGAGGTAGCTGTGTGGGGATGAATTGTTACAGTACTTGTGTGTTTGGGGGTGTATGTGACTTACTCTCCTTCCACCTACATTTAATGGTAGTGCTTGGAAATTGGCTACTTGGGGAAGCAAGTGTTTACATGGGGACATATTGAGAGCCTCCAGCCCCACGTAAGATCCCACAGGTGGAACAGATCACCAGGGGAGCAAACAGAGGGTACGTAGAGCTGGTGGGGTTAATTAAAGTGAGAATGTTGATTTGCCCCCGCTTGGGCAAAAAATAATGACACAATGTGCCAGAGCTAAGGGCAATGGTGGTGGTGGTGGGGGGCGCAAAACTTACAAACTGTGATCATTTAAATTATTTATTTCCTATGCTTCTCAGCATAGGAAATGGCCATGGGTTGAGATTTTCATGATATTACATTTGCCTTGGAAAGAAAATATATAAAGAATGATTGTTTTTGCCTCCATTCCCACAGAATGAACATTCACTGAGCTTCTCAGGATGAATGGCTTTGCAAATTGCTTATAAATAAATCTTGTAAGATCTCCACTAGGGGCAGAGGCGTCCCCAGGCCGGGTGTCACCCGCTTTGACGTCATCATGCACGGGAGAGGAGGGGACGTTCATCCAGCAGGATAGGGTATGTGCTGCGTCCCCCCTTCTCTTGTGCAGCTGTCGCGCTCTTGGTCCATTTTTTTCAGAGGGGGAGACACCAAACTAACCGTCAGTCATTTTGGCGTCACTCCTCTGATGGTTTGACCTGGCGCCGGCCACACCTCTGTCCACCTGAACAATGGATATCAGGGCAGAATCTTCAAGTTTTATTTTAAGGAAAGGTGCAGTTTGAAGAATATAAAAAAATACAATGAAATTCTGAAGCTTATATGAGATTTTAGAGATTGGGTTTACATACAGTATATTTTAATTCTGAAGATACACACACTCACACACACACGCACACTCACACATACACTATGGACATTTTTGGGAAATACAAGAAAAAAAGAGAGATTAACATGGAAATTGGAATTTGTTCACATATATTCTACAGGTTTAACAGTGATCTGCATTTAATCCGGCAATGACTAAACCTCCAAAGTTCCATTCTTATGCGCTCAGAGAAAACATTAAAATATGATCAGTCACAGCACATTAGCGTCGAAGAGAACAAATCTGAATTCTGCAGCAGCACCGTTTTAACGAGGCCAGAAAAACATCTCTGTTTGTAATATTACAAAAGCTGGACTGGTGGTTCTAGATAATGCAACCTAATACTGAACAATCATTTGCTCGTGTGTTCTGGGAGAGAATGGCCGGATTTCATTCTGACTTCTCAGTGCCACTCTGCAGATTAGCGCTTGAAAAAGAGGACTCGAGACCGGGGCCCTCTCATGTCACTTGGGGACTGGAGTTGTTAAGCCAGTTCTCCAGTCCAAAGGACCTTTCGGCTTTGCAGGGGCAGTGAGCTGAAGCTCCCAACTCGTCCCACTGGTTCCCAACATATATACACAGGTCTACCATTCTGACCTCAGACCATTGGCACATGCTATATTGGTGGTCCGACATGACCACCACCTTCCTGCCCCAAACAAGCTGCTCTTTAATGTTTTTGCAGGTATAGGCCACACTCACTTCAATATTTCAACAGCAGTGTGTTCTTCTTTTTCCATTCGGTTCAACTAGACTTATGCCCACAGGAGAGAATACACTCTTACAGAATGTCCAGCTACATTAGCTAACTCACCTATGGCAGAACAGTGGTGTCCTCCCCGAAGGGGAACACCGGGCAACCTGGTGGCTACATCTTGCCAGTTGAGGCCCCGTCCTTCCCACAATGTTAACGCTCTTCGCTCTATTCTCCCAAACTTCTTCATCTACCCCCTCCTCTCAACTCCTCCCCTACTATTTATATTTACCCGATTGGCAGGGAAGCAGATGTGCAGTGGGGAACTAAAGGTATTACACCTACTTCCACCCAACAACCTAATAAGAAGGCCTCACATGCTCTTTCATTTATGCAGGGGCTCACTTAGGTGTCTTCAGGGGGAAGCATACATGTTGGGCTGAGTGACTATTATTTTTAAGACATTTGGCTTAAAGTGGACCCTTCAGCAGCTTAAAGCTCCGCTTCATACTTGAAAAATGTTTGTTAAGTCTGATAGTAGAGGAATAAGGTGTAATTATTACCTAACTCCTTACTTTAGCAGGCTCTCTCCATCTATGTGACCTATCGTCCGAAGCCTCTTCTCTGATGTCATCAAGCACAATGCAGTCCAGCACTGCTCAAGAGGACAGCAAGGGCCCACCCACAGCCCAGGGCATAGAAAAGATGATGTGAGCATGAGAGTGAGGATTAAAGTAAGTATTACACCCTATTTCTCTACTCTAGACTCAATGAGCATTTTACCCTTGCAGTGGGTAGTTTTTTCATGAATTCCACAGTTCAGCTTTGATAAGTCTGCATGAATAAATTCCTAACTTTATAAATAAACAGCAACAGTATAAGTTTTAAAAAATCTACAATTTACCACTAAAAGGAAAACGTTTAACTCCATTCGGTGACTTTGCCTAGGCTGAGATGATGCCATGAGTCTGCCGCAGACAGTAGGAAGCATTACCTCAATCTCCTCACCCCCAGTGAACAGAATGCAGCATTGTAACTTTGTAGAAAGTCACAAGATGAGAGGCTGCAGCAGGGGGCTGATCTACAGTACATCAAACATTTAGGAACATACTGCGTAATCTCTGAACCAGGATCTAGGTTCAGGAAGTAGATGGTGACCCTGGATGATACCTGATAAAGGCATTGGCGGGCGATTACTTTGATCTCTGTGAGGTAATAAATGACTGGAAGTGTTACACCACATTACACAATACTTGGCATGCACTTAAAGCCCATTTCAACCTTTGCAGAGGTATTTTAAAAAAACATATGCCAGCAATGTACACCGAGTGAACATGAAGCAAGCATATGCATTTGCAGAATGATGAAAGCCTGCAATGTGAGTTGTGAAAATGTGTACACATATACATCATCACTGCACCTCTTCATTACCACAATCAATGCTAATCACTTACAAAGGTGGAAATGGGCTTTAACCAGGAACAAATATTTGCTAGATCCGCCTTAGGAGTTGTATTTAAGGGTTTTGATTTTCTACATTTGCTTTATTCTGCTAATGTCGATAAACCTCAATTATATTGTGCGGATTACCTTTCTGAGGCAGTGCTTGATCTGCTCTGCCTATCCTTGGCGGCAGCCGGGACTAACAATATGCTTTCATGTTGAAGGCCAAACACGTAATATGTAGTCCCTGCACCCAAACACAACAACCCAATAGCATGCATTCAAAACTCATCTACATGAACCCTGATACCCTTAGACTTCAGCTAGCAGGTGATCAGAACGCCTACTTATTAGCCTTGTGTACAAGGCCAGTCTTATGTTGCTGTATATCAAATCATCTTGATTTACTTTGGAGCAATCCTAAATTATTATTTAATGTATCTGTGGAAATATAAGCTTAGGCGTCACTACAAATAGAGCTGACCACTGAGAAACTGAATTGGCAGCAGCTAGCTGTTACATTAAAGTGGACCTTCACGCATGATGTTCCTCTCATCTGGTTTTGAACTAGACATGTGACATATGACAGGGTTGCTCTAAAACCCAATTCAACTTTCTCTTTTAAACTGCTAAATACTCTCCTGGGTGCATCAACACAAAAGATGTGCAAACATTTACAGTTTGTTCTCTTTGGAAAGAGGCCACAGCCTAAGAAAAGCCTGACCTTTGCCAGCATGCTGCAGAGAAGGACTCTTGCTCTTTGTGGAAGCAGTGGTTGCTCTAAAGAGGTCCAGGATGCCCCCCACTAAGTCACAGTTAGAGTTTTCCAATCAGCAGGAAGCATGAGCTTTGCTTATTATGGAGCTTTGGCTCTAACTCAGCAGGGGGAAAACTGGACCTCTGCAGAGAGACCAATGATTTCACACAGAGACTTGGCTTCTCTACTTGGGCCGTGACTGCTTTCTAATGGAAATGACCTGTAAGTCTTTGCGCACCTTTTGTTTTGATGCACCTGGAATGTATGTA